CGCCGGCCGCGGCCGCAGGGTGCAGACCGTAGGGGCGGCCGTAGGGCCCCGCGGCGCCGGCCGCCGCCGCCAGGCTGTAGGCGCCGAAGCTCTGCATCATGAGCGCCGTCTGCTCACGCAGGTGCTCCTGCTGGTGGCGCTTGAAGCGTTTCCGGCGCCGCAGGAAGCTGCCGTTGTCGAACATGTCCTCGGACTGCGGGTCCAGGGTCCAGTAGTTGCCCTTCCCCGGGTTGCCCGGTTCACGGGGGATCTTGACGAAGCAGTCGTTGAGCGAGAGATTGTGGCGGATGCTGTTCTGCCAGGCGGGGAACTTCTCCCGGTAGTAGGGGAAGCGGTTGCTGATGAACTCGCAGATGCCACTCAGGGTCAGCTTCTTCTGCGGGCTCTGCAGGATAGCCATAGTGATGAGCGCGATGTACGAGTAGGGCGGCTTCACCAGGCTGTTCTTGGGCTTGTTCGGAGCCAGGCCTCCCGCCGCACCGCTGCCCGAGCCAGGCCCGCCACCGCTCCCGCCGCTCTCCTCGCCGCCAACGCCGCCCTTGCAGCCGTCGGCCTCGGACGCGCCCGCCTCGCCCCCTGGCCCGGCCCCGGCTCCAGCGGCCTCCTTGGGCAGTGCCAGGGGCTGCTGGTGCGGCGGCTGAGGCTGCCCGTGGTGGGGGGCCGCCAGCGTCACCTCGTCCGCCTCGTCCAGGCGCAGCTCGGGCGGCCCCGCGGGGCTATCGCAGCCCGCGTCGCTGTCCTTCTCCTCCAGCCCGTCATCGCCCTCGCCCACCACATCGATGTCCACGTCCTCGGCCGTCAGCACCGTCTGGCCGGACATGTCGCTGGAGCTGCCGCCGCCGGAGAGGGTCATCCCTCCTCGGGGTTTGGTGGCGGCGGCGGGGAAGGAGTGGTGCGCGATGGGCGTCTTCAGGGGCTGCCGCCAACCTCAGAGAAGGGGTTTTGGGCGCCCCCGAAAGATGGGGGATTGGGAGAGGGGAGGGGGGCGTAGGTGGTTCGGGGCTCTCCGGGCTTGGCTCACACTCGGCGGCCCGGCATCGCGCGGAGCGGGCTCTGCCGTCCGCCCCCAGTGGCAGCGCTCCGCAAACTCCAGCTGTCTCTGGCGCTCGGTACTAGGCGCTCGCTGCCGCTGCCAGCCCCGGCGGCTTCTCCACGCCGCGCCCCCTCACTTCGCCCGCCTTCCTCTGCCCCTGGCCCGGGAGTGGGGAGCAGGAGCAGTGCTGGCGGGCGCGGGACGCCGGGCGCCGAGCAGCTCGGGAGGGCGCGGGCAGGGGCAACGGGGGGAGGGGGTGTCAGGGGCGCTGAAGCCCCCGTAGTCGAAAGTCGCGTTTTAAGGACTGGCCTGATAGATTACTTTCTACTTAAAGATCCAGCGGGAGGCGGGGCCACGTGACCGTGCGTGACGTCAGGGCCGCCGCTGAGCCGGCCAAACTCAAGTTGGTTGAGAGAATTGTCAACAAAGGGACGAGGGACGCGCAACTCCGCGCCGCACCGTGCGCCAGCATCCCGCGGGTCCCGAGGGCGCCCCGGTCCGCCCCGAGACCCCACCTTGGGCTGGAGCCTGGCGCGGGGGTCGAGGGACCCTGTGGGTGTGAGTGCGGATGGGTGCGTGTGAACGAGTGAGGCTGTGGGCCTGTGAGCGTCCGCCGAACCCCGAAGCTCCGCTGCCCTGCCCTACCCGCCCCCTCTCCTTTCTCCCCGCTTTGCCAACGCTCCCTAGGCAAGGACTGGGCGTAGAACATAGGACAAGATTCCCATCCTGTTGTTATTATTATTTTTTTAAAAGAAAAACTTAGTAGTCTCTGTTTTCTTTTTGTTTGATTCTTTTTAGCTCTAAAGAGTAAGGGCTGCGCCCCGGCTCTCTCTTGCTAATTAGACTTAAGAGCCACTCCTGCCTCAGTGCTTAGTCGGCGGAGACACCTACTGAGGGGAGGCGCTCCTCCTCCCCCTAAAGTCAAACCACCTGGTCCTGCCTTCGCTTTCCAGGCTCGATGTGGGCGTGTTTATATGTATATATATATATATATATATATTTTTTTTTTTTTCCCGCTCGGCCACAGCAGCATCAGTTGGGGTTCCCGAAGATCAGAAAATGGCTATTGATTAATCTATTAGAATAGTTGCCGAGAGAAATAAAAAAGACTTAAAATAACAGGGAACCTATAAATAAAGAAGCCCTAACTAGCTGCTCGGAGTTGTTAAACGACTTAGCATGTGAAAAAGTCGGAAATGAGGCGCTGGGGAAGGAGCCGGGATTGTCAGCGGCCAGGGTAAGTCGAGTGGGGCCGGGAAGAGGCTTCGGGCCTCTAGGTTAGACGCCGCGCCCAGGCTGCGAGGACAGACAACGCGGGGAGCGGGCGGTGTGACTTCGCAGGCGCCCAGGCCCAGGCTCCTGAGAGTGGGGCCGGCCCCGAGCTTGCCAGCGGGCTAGGCTCTCACTGCTGCTAACTAACGTGGATTCTTTTTCCTCAGGGCATAGACAAACCCTCCAAGATTTAACTTCCTCAGAAACCCGCAACAGGAGGTGGAGGAGGAGGAGGAGGCGAGGATGCGGCCAGTGAGCACCGAATTTCTTTGGCAAGGAAAGTCAGTGATGGTAGGAAAGACTGTGGGCATTTAACTGGGATGTGGCGGGGGCGCAAACCTACCCGGGTGCGTTGCATTGCTGGGGCGCGTGGACCTCGCACTTCAGAATAGTGCACCTGACCGGGTGAATCCGCGATGGGCCGCCTCTTCCCCTCTCGCATTTTTAGGCAGCCTCCTTGCGAGGCGCGAGTGCCTACCGGGTGTGGCGGGCTCTTGGAACCCAAGCCCAGTCTGGCCGCTGAGGCCTGCGAGGGGAATGCAGGCCTCACCAGAAGAAGGAGCACAAGGGCAGATGGTCCGAGGAAAACAGTGAAATATTTACAGAAGACACTGAGAAACTGATACATTTCCTGGCGGACAGTAGTACTTCTGATTCCCTGTCTGTGTCTCTCACCTACGACCCCCCTCTTTCCTTAGCCTAGACACACGTAAACTTGCTTCATTATAGGCAGTGCGACACACAGATTGACTTTAATTTTCATGAGATAATTTCCCGGTTAAAACACTAGCACGTTGGATCCCCACTTCGCAGGATGTTTCTGGTTGAAGCTGGGGCAGTTACTCCAACTTGAGACGCCCACGAAACTCCAAGGCTTTTCTGTATCTAAATGAAACCCCGATTGCACCTGACCCTAAAATGCATCTGGGTTCATTTCCGCAGCTGCACCGCTTTGTGGCCCGCAGGCTCCGAACCGTTTACAATACCACCTAGACAGCTTCCAGCGAAACCGACCGGAGCGCCGAGCTGGCTGCCCACCGATCCCCCCGGCAGCGGAGGTCCCGGCTGCAACTGTCCCAGTAAACCAATAATTACAAAAGGAAGGTCGGAAGGACACGAAAAAGAAAGCGAAATTCGCAAATTCACAAATTCCTTTTGCTCAGCTTCGGTTATAGAGCCCCAGAGGCAGGCGCGGGCCGCAGCAGGAGCCCTACCGCAGCCTGGGAGGCTGGGCCCGCGTGGACGCGCGCGCGTGTGTGTGTGTGTGTGTGTGCGTGCGGGAGGGTGGCGGCTCCAGGGGCTGCCCTCCGCAGTGTTCTTGAAGTATCCTCCAAATGAGCCTAATTTCGATTTCTTTGCCCGCCAGGGCTGGCTCTCAGGACTCCCTCGGTGCCGCTGTTTCTGCCTCTCAGCCTCCCTCGGCCAGGACCTGGCCCAATCCGTCCATTCCCCGGTGTCTCTGGAACCTCCCTGGGGGAAGGGGTGGGAGGTGAACAACTCCCAGCCGCCAGTTCCATTTGTTGCGCTTTTATCCTTCGACACAATAAAAGTCAAATTAATTGATTCATACCATTAATTACGGGGCGTAGCGTGAAAAGCAACGCTTCCCCTCGGTTAGCGATCTATTGTGCTAATCTCTTGTTCAATCAGTGTTACCATCTGATGCCGGGTCTGGCCCTTACAGAAACTTTTCGACTCGATTAGCTAAATGATGAGACGTGCGGGACCTACTGGCTGCGGCCCCGACGTCCTGCACCCGTGCGGGCCCAACGGCTGAATATCGATTTCCAGCGGAGGCGGCGGATTTTCCCGCGACCTCTCTAGGCTAGGGAGCCGGCCGCCCTTTCCTCCTTCCGGGCGGACAGTAGCGCCGCGCAACCTCCCGTTGTTGGAAGGAGGCTAAGCGGCAGCCCAGGTGGGAGGCAGGAAGGTTCCCGCTGCCATCGCCGCGGGACGCCGCCAGGGCGGAAGGGCCCGAGCCCGACGAGGTGCAGGGTCCTGTCCTAGGCCGACTAGATTCCGGGCTGAGTAAATCCTGTTTGCCGCGTAATCTCAGCTTGCAGCTAAAAGCCCACAGGTCGTCAGTTACCGCCAAACTTTAGAACAGACAGAGATGGGAGAAGTGAGACGGATACAGAAAGACAGGGACACATTTGTGGGGGGAAGAAAGATGTGATAGAGGGAACGGAAATATTAGTGGGGGGAGGGAAGGAAAGAGAAATGTGGATAAACATTTTCTGAGTTTCAGAGGGTTACTGGGGAGGTAGAATGAAAACACACACACACAAACAATTACTATGAGTGAGAGTGACTACTTGGGTCACAACAAGCAAACTTCCCCGGAGGGATTTAAAGAAGATGGCAGCCAGCTGTCTCACCTGTTCAAATGTTTGAAACGTTTCAGCCAAAGAGAATGTAATGAGGCTCCCTCCGTTTCTCCTGGGGCGGGCAGAGTCCGTGGTACCCAGCTGCGGAAGCCGCCAGGACCGGGGCTGTTGGGGGCGGGGGTTGGTAGTGGTGGTGGAGCGGACCGAGGTTCTAGCAACAGGAAACAGGAAAAGTGGAGTTCGGATCGATTGGAAGGAAATTGAGACATCTGGGGGAGGGAAGATTTAGAATGTGTGTCCTGGGGGTTGAGATGGGGGTGGGGGAGACATAGTGGATGGAACAGTTTATGACGGAGAAGGGGAAATTAATTACAACTCAATTTGGGTTCTTAAGTGGTCAACACAGGACGAGGGGCACGGTCAGAGTCTGCGGAAGGCTGGAATGGCCCACCTACCCCTCGCCAGGCCCAAGCGAACTCAGGTGCCCTCTTCCGACTTCTTTAAGTCAGAGACTATGCCAATGGTTTGAATAAATCGTTGGCCCGAGGTGAGATAAATCTTTACGCCCGGGCGCGTGTGCGCTTTTCTTGCAATACGGGGAGAAAGGACCACGTTCAGCGCAGTGAGGGGCGGGACTCCCACAGAGAGCAGCCACCCTCCCTCTGCTGCAGGGGAAACAAAACGTGGGTGGAGCCCATCTGGAATATACCCCTCTCTTCACCCCGCAAAAACCAAAGTCGGCTCTTTCTTGACAATCTTCACAGATGTGTTAAACTATTATCAGCCTCTGCCTGGATGGCCGCCACCAAGGGAGGTGGGAAGGGCTGAGATGATATCCGGGTCCCCAACGCATCCAAGTTACTTCTATTTCCACCCTTGTATACCTTTCCAGATCTCTTTGGGATGCGGGAAAAAAGATTAATTTAATGTACATGCATCTCAAAACTTCATTTATTTACAAGGTGTCCGGCACTCAAGGCCCATGCCAAGAAGTGCCTTGTAATGGCGAGAGACCAAAGGGAAAGGAAGAGAGAGGGAGAGAGAGGATGGCTTCGAATTTATTTATATTGGAAATGTATAAACATCCATTCTGTAAAAGGCAACACGTTTAATTAACGATGAGAGAGTAGTTAGGGGCAGAAAGCTAGTAAAATTGTGTGATAAATTTATGGCATTGTTAGCGTGCTTTTAATTATGGCTATTATGTTAATTATTTCACAT